TTAGCATACAAACATAGAATTATTACAAAATATAAGTATATATTTTCTATATACAAATGAAGGTGTGGTATGTTAATGTTATGAGAACTTACTGATTTAGTAAGATGTTGACGAGGGTGCGGATAAATGTTGACTTGCCCACATTCTTGGTGCCACATACAAGGATAACAGCACAACCATCCATGTCCCCTATGAATGACAGAAAGGTGACATAATTTACCAGTGCAGGGTCAAATGTGAGTGCGTTTGTGTACAGCCATTATTGAATATGGATCCATGGATTCATCAGTCTATTACAGTAAAAAGTGTGTTACACAAATGGCTTTATTCAGACATGATAAGATTCATATGGAAACAGCTACAAAGCTGCAATATTTGCCATCTGGTGTACTATAGAGAACAGCGGCTGCATCAGTGATGAACTTTAACATTGATTTTGCAGCTGAAGCCTTAGATAATGACCACTGTGACCATTTCATTCAAAGATTTTTGTAGTGGATAGATGACAGGATACAAGAGCGGGAAAGCTCTCCATCCAGACTCAAAATAGGTACATATTAGATATTGATTTCTGCTGCCTTTTTTATAATGTCCAGCAATGTGCAATCACAAAGACTCCTGTGAGGTCTTCTTGAAGCAGTTGAAAACATTTTTATTCAGACAGGCTTCTGGTCATTCTGTCTGAATACTTTTTATTTTATTACTCTTTATGTATTTAATTGCTTTTACTGTCCTATTTCTTGAACTTTTGTACTTTTTTTATGATGTAAAGCACCTTGTGATTTTTTTTATCTGTGAAAAGGTGCTATATAAATACATTTCAATTATTTACTTAAAGTGACAAGACATTAAGTTAGGAGTTTCATTTAATTCCCATTTGCTTACACATGTTATTGTTTTGCTGGATATTCATTTATTCATCTATAGTCAGATTTTTTAAATCTCTTATTCCCCTCACTGTGGGGAAATGATTTTTTATAGGGTGATCTAACATGAAAAGAATCTCTTCGATAACTCACAAGTGGTTCATAAATAGTGTTTCATGGTTGATCAAACTGATTTTATTTTCTTTCTGTGTAACAGATGATAAAGTGATACATGTATCATAGTGCTCAGACAGTGTGTTTATCCTTGTGCTGCTGAAGCCTTTGTGTTAACATGACAGATTTAAGTCAGATTTAAGCCACAGAGTGTTGGGAGATCGTAACTAGGTCCTACCAGGAGTAGTTACATATAAGTGACTCAAGTTCTTATTCAGACATCAGACCAACACATAAAATTCTCATCACATTTACGTAAGAAATTTCACGTGTGACAGGGGCTTACCTCTGCAAGCACTGACCACCGCGTTAAGAGCATCTCTGTAGCTCTTCGACATTTTCAGGCCCTCGATGGTGCTGCCCAGAGGAACCATCCCCAAACCATTGAGAGGAGTGTCAAGAACAGCTGACATGAGTTCACTCTACAAACAAGCAGTGAGGAGAAGCTTCTGTTAGACATATGAGACTGACTGCTGATTCCAGTTGTGTCCCAAATTAAATGCATTTCAACGTCTTGTGATTCAATCAGAGACAATCAGTCAACTTACCATCGGGGGGCTGAACAATTCGCTGAGATCTGTGAAGCTTGACAGAAACCGTGTCAGAGGCGTCTCCATGGGCTCCAGCAGGATGATGGATGAGTGTGACATTACCTTTTTTAGCAACTTTTTCTGTGATGCTACAAAAAAATAAATTAAAAAAATAGAATCACATTCAAAGAAAAAGATGCATCAAACAATACACTCTCAGTCTAATCTTTTCTTTATGCTACAACTCTTAACTAAATATGCAAATAAGATTATAAAATAAATACATAATTCTCTAATACAATGGCAGGGGAGCTGCTTAGGCATTCACCTGATGACAGATACTTTCGGAGGATGGATGAAGCCTCTGTTTTGTCATCTCTGGTGTCATCAGAGCTTTCTAGTGCTCTAATGATCAGTGGACAATGTGAGGCTGGAGAGAAGAGTGGATACGATTGCTGGCCCTCTTCAATAGTGAACCCCATCACTTCTACACGACCGTACAGGCAGGTCAAAAAGCACTTCCCACGGAAACACAGGGTCTGCAGGAGAGTGATTTTATGCTCAGTTATGAAAATGGACTAAAATGGATTAAAATTTGTCTTAATTGTTTCCAAATCTGACAAACTCTACCAAAAATGACCTGAAGCATACCTGATTCTTCTGCATGACAAGCACTGCATGGTTTTTCCGATCATCTCTCTCTGCACAGCAATGGAGAGCCTCTCCTTCCAGTCTACCTGGCTGGACGTCCTCCATGTAAGCAGAGGTCTCCACACCGTTCCCATGAATGGTCTGGGAATATTCCTTCCAGTCCTGTGAGTCATCGGACACATTGTCCATCTTAAATGCTGAACTTCCATTAGCCTGACTGTAAGATTTCTTCGGTCCAGACTGAGTGCTTTTCTTTGAGTCTGAAACAGACTTTGCCTTATTTTTCAGTCTCTTGACGGTGGGTTTTTTCTTCACAGATGCATGGTGCTCTTTTATCATCCTGGTCATAACAGGGGTAGAGCTGAGCTCAGAGGAACTGATGGGAGGTCTGCATCGTTTGCCCCTAACATCCTTCCACTTCTGAGATTTAGTATGGCCCTTACCCTGTGTGGGTTTGTTCACCTTCATGTTTCTCTAATCAACAATTATTCATGTGGGTGCCGATGAAAAACAAAGGGGGAAGCCTGCAAAGACAGAGGCAGAAATTAGCCAAACTTGGGAAAAATGCCCTAAAATTTAACCAGTCTAAGGTGATGTTTTCAAATGTCCCATTTGTTCGATTAATGGTAAATATATTAAATATTCAGTGCATGACAATATAATACTAAGAAAAACAGAAAGTTCTTGTGTTGAAGAAGCAGAGAAAAATCACATTAATGGCTTGAAAAATTATTCAAATAAGAAGTAAAAAAAGAATTCTCACTATTTTGCTGACATTTTCTGTGTAAATCGATTAATCAAATTGGGATAGCTGCGTTTCATTATTCTGTAACGGCGCTGAAGTTAGCTTCCAATTTAGCTGTTAAGGGGACAATACCGATTCTCTTCTCATTTTTCAATCCACATATTGTTGTGAAAGGTTGTTAGACATGCAAATCTGTTACCAGACACCTGAATTTGTGCACAAACCTGAAAATAATGTACCCTACCCAAAACAAAATAAAGTTACTGTTCTTCAACCCTTTTGATTAGTCATAACCCCTGATTTCTTTGAAAGGTAACCCTTTAAATTTTACAATCAAAAAGTCAGAATGAGTCTGAATCCTGAACCAAAGGTACAGAGGTACATACATGACAGAAATGTAAGGCTTTTCTTTGTTGCTTGCCTTTTTCTGGCATAAAAATGATAAGGCCTGTTGTGAGTGTGGAAAACACATTGAAGCCACAGCCACATGTCTGTACAATTATGTGTCAAAAGGTGTTGCAGTGATATGATCCTAAAATGCTTTGTATAGACAGAATGAGGAGCCTTATGAAGCTTGTATAGCAATGTATAATCTGTCAAGGTTGTGTGAAGACTGAGTCTGGTACAGACTAAAACACACGTAAAGTAGTGCTACTAGGGCCAAAGTGTCCATTCAGTGAGACAGTGTATTTCAAAAGGTTAAAGCCTTTGAAACCCACTTTAAAAATTGGGTTAAGGTTAATAGAAACCTTTCCTTCATTCATGACAGCAGAGAAAAATATAACATCAATAGCTCTATCTTAAAAACTCTGCATTTATATAAGTAGACACCAGTAATGGTTGAACAGTTTCAGATTTGTGAAATTTTTATTCTGTTTGTAAAAACGTGTTTCTTAAAAACAATTTCAATAAAGCAAAACGCAATATCACAGCTGTTTTCCCCCAATTAGAGACCAATCAGACCAGGTTAAGATATAAAACCACTCTCCCTAGACTTGGCAAATCTGGACTTTATTATCAGACAGAGTTCATACACAGTTTAGAACATAGTTTCAAATTTGAGAAATCTATATTTTTAGTTGTCGAAACATTATATTATAAGTACATTTTTTTTTTAAATTTAATGTGATTTCACTGTTTTTTCCTCATCTAGATCACATCAGACCAGGTACAGAGCAAGAACACTCTGAAATCAGCTTTTAATGACATTTAAATGACTAATCAGTCAATTGAGAAAATAATCGGCAGATTAACCGATAATAAAAATAGTCGTTAGTTGCAGTCCTAAACGGTATTTACTTTTAAAAACATGTTAGCCACCACAGCTAGCTTGATTTGGCAGCCAGACAATTCGATAGCAGTTCAAAGCTGAATTAACAATGCTAACACAAAAAAGAGGTTATTTAGCTGTGTATTTCTTATACTTCAATTTCTCTACGTGTGAGGTTCAGCAAGTCTATAAACTCACCGTTAAAGAGGAATCAGATGTTAGACAATGAAACGTGCATTTTAAACTTGGCGTGAAGTTTTCAGGGCTAACTATCACAACCTTATCGCACGTTAGCTGCTAGGCTAGCTACTGTCGTTACACTCAGGTAGAGAAAACTTACCCCCCGTTTGTACAACACAATGCAGAACTGTAGAGATGAGCCCCTGTAATGCTACGAAGTGGATAGCGTTTTATAATTCGCCAACGCGAATCCCTGAAGCTGGCCAGTGCTAATGGCTAGCTTACATGTGTGAGCCACAAACAGACGCCGCGTCTGGAGGGTCGACTATGGTTTTACCCGGAGTGTTGTTATATATGACAAAGTTATTTTAGGCAATAATTTATCTTTTAGTCTATTATCACAGAGATAGAAAAATATTAAAAAGCTATGTAGCCACAAATGAACATCTTATTTGTAGCAGTTTTATTGTTTTTGTTGTGAATGTTGGTGTTTAATAATGGACAATAAACATCTTTCCCGGAGTTCGGTCGCGTAAACACCGTCACATCCTCTTCCTTTTGCAGTTTTTAGGGGCCTGCAAGAAACGAAAACAAGGTGCATGTAGCTAGGCTTTGCTATTTTTTCTCCCTATTTACATTATACCCGGAGCGGATGGAGCTTATCAACAAATAAGAGTGAATAATCAGTTTTAATCGATAATGCAAATGTGAGTGTTGAAATGCAGCTGTCGGGTGAGTACCACGCTAAGGGAGCGTCTTTAAAGATCTGTGGTAGGAAATAAACGTCGAGGTGCGTAGGTAGTCAGGGGATTGCAGTTTATATATATCTATTTTTTTTTTTAAACTGTAGAGATATCATAATCCCAGGAAAACATAACAGAGGACTTTATTTTAATAATCAACACAGTTAATGTGATAGCTATCATTAATTCAAATGAAATTCATAAAGTTATTAAATGGAAGAAGTGAATATCTATAGGGTATCTGCAGGTCTTGAAAACTATTAAAACGCAATGGATTCAGTTCAAAGGCCTCGTAAGGTATTAAAAAGTCTTAAATTTAATTAAAAAAGGTCCTGAACATTTCCTCTTGCCTGCTGTAGACAGTAACATTAATTACAACTTTTTTCGTGTGTGGTTGGGGTCTGTCATGAGAAATTATACAAAAATAAACTAGAAGTGAGACTAATGTGACAGTGCATCATTATTATTATTGTTATTAACATAACAATAATAATAATTATTATTATTATTACTGCTTGGCAGGAGCTCATTTTAGCAAGAACTGAAGTTTGTTAATCTACCTATCAATTTTCTGACTTAAAGTTAATGTAGGCATTCTTTGACAGGTATGACTGTGAAAAAGAGATTGTATTCTTTGTTACAGAGGTCTGAAAAAGTCTTAAATTTAATTTGATCAACACTGCTGAAACCCTGTATAGCCCTCTTAAATGCTCAACACCTTATTAAAATCTTATTTTCTCAGATATGCTATGTTTCATCTAATTCATTTCAAATGATCTCTGTGGAGTAGTATCTGCAGCCTCATACAGTATGCTCTGAAGTGATCAGCAGCTTTTCATTCAGTTTTCTGTCAAATAAGACGAATAAAAGCTGCAAATCATCACATTTAAGAAGCTGGAAACAGCGTTTTTTTGCCTGTTTTGAAAAAAAAAAAAAACACACACACATAACAATTAATCACTTATCAAAATAGTTCCTGATTCATTTTCCATTGATCGAGTAATCAATGAATAGACAAATTATTTTAGCCCTAGGAGGATAAAATTTGGCAAACAGCTCAAACAACTACCGCAAACCAACAGAGAAGGCAGACATAACATAATGCTGTGTTATGTAGTTATGTAAAAGAAAGTAGGTAATAGATAAATAAACAACAATGGACAACAACATAAAACATCTAGAACTGAATCCATTAGTTAATGGACAGAAAATGAATCACAAACTATTTTGATAATTGTTAATTACTTTTTTAGTCTTTTTTTTTTCCAATCGGTCAATCAATCAGCGATACATTTTATAAATATTATATAGAAACAGTATGATGTTTATGTTTCTCATGCAGCAGCAGTATCCAGTGAAGCCAGAGGAATGCCTGCAGCAGAGAGCAACCATGCACAGCGTGTCCTCTCCTCCCTGAACCAGCAGAGGGCAGTGGGGAGGTTTTGTGATGCAGTGTTGAATGTGGGAGGTGGGGTGGTCTACCTCGCCCATCGAAACATCCTTGCCTGTTTCAGTGAACTGTTCCAGCAGTCCAACATGCCCACTTCACCATGCATGGAGTTCTGCCTTCAAGAGTGCCCCAACGATGGCCTGGAGCTGCTCCTTAACTTCGTCTACACCGGGGAGCTCAAGCTGAATCCTGACAACCTGGACAAGGTGCAGCGGGCAGCAGCCAGCCTTTGTGTCCCAGAAGCACTTGCACTCTGTCAGCAGTTCAAGGAAACATCTGTTGATCCGGTGCCTTTCAAGCGTAAAAGAGGCAGACCTAGAAAGTCTGCATCAGATAAAACCTCTCAATGTTCAGTCAAAGAAGAGAACTTGCCTACAGTCACAAAAGATGAGTCCAGTATCGATACTGACACAGCCAGTTTAAGCTCCACTACTACCACCACCCGCTCTGGTCGTGTAGTGAAGGGCCCCAGGCGACTGGTGACCGATGAGAGCTCCAACACTGATTTTACAGCCACTGAAACAGCGAGCAAGAGGGCCCCGAATATTCCTGTGGAGAAGGAAAGTGGTGATGTTGTTGTGGAAAATCAAAACCCAGATCAGCCAGCTGGTGAAACTGAGGTATATTACATGAACATAAGCATTACAGTGATTGGTCATTTGCTACTGAATTTAACTACAAGTGCAAATAATGATGACAAAGATGAACACTGTTGCTATTGTTACACTTGTCCTGTGCTGTTTTGCAGATGACCGACTTACAGATTGACATAAACGACAATGGTGTTAGCAGAGTAATTGAGGAGGCAGAGGAGGATGAAGATGTGGGCGATTTTGAGGGGATCACTGAAGGCTCAGATGAGGAGTATGTGCCCATTGCCGAGGCCACTTCTTCAGCTCCGTCCACATCGACCGCACGGAAACGCAAGGCCCAGAGTAAGACGGAGAAAACTGAGAATGGCGAGGCTGTTGAAGAAGACTCCAAGAAGGACTCTGTGCAGTGTCCCATCTGTGACAAATCCTTCAAGAGCAAGTACTACCTCAAAGTCCACAACAGGTATATGTCTTCTGCAATTTCTTTTACTTTGAATTACTGCTGAAAGATTAGCTATTAATGTGTGTTTTTCACAGGCGGCATACAGGGGAGAGGCCCTTTGGTTGCCTTAAATGTGGAAAGAGGTACTTCAGGAAGGAGAATCTTTTAATACACGAGATCAGAGACTGTGCTCGAGTACAGGCGAGTAATAAAAAAGTGATTTAGCTCCACTGATGAGAAAGCAAAGATTCAAAATGAACTAAGAAAGAAAGTGTAACATCAGCGTTTGTGCTGTGCTGTAACTACAGACGTACACCTGCGTGACGTGCTCCTCAACCTTCAGTGGAAAAGAACAGTTACGTCTGCACGTTGTGTCCCACACGGGAGATATGCCCCACAAGGTGAAGCCTACACCTTCACCTAGCAAACATGGATGACAATTAATTAATCAAATCTGAAATGAGTTTTTAAAAACATCTTCAGTGACACAGTGTAATTTGTTTCAGTGTTCGTCGTGTCCTGAACAGTTTCTGTACAAGAAGAATTTAACGATTCACATGATGAAGATCCACGGTTATCCAAAACCACATGCAGTAAGTTTTCCCAACTGTCTTCCTATGAAGTTATGTGTACCTGTAGTAAATATGCAAGTTGTTTTGCCTTTGTGTTTTCACCAAAAGTCACTTTTCAATTCAAAGCTTGTTGTTTTCATTCTGTTACAAGAATATTTCATTTGTAGTGTCCCCAGTGCCCCAAAACCTTCTTGACTCGGACAGAGCTGCGTGTGCACGAAGCAGCCAAACATCGCGGTGAAAAGCCGTTTGTGTGTGAGGAGTGTGGCCATCGAGCGTCCAGTCGAAACGGTCTGCAGATGCATATCAAAGCCATTCACAGGTAGTGGAGCATGTTACAGTAAACTGGGTTCCTTTGAATTTCACAACAACTGTGATGGTGCATCGGTGCAGATGAACTGAGTCTATTCTTTAAAATTTGCATTACAGAAACGAGCGACCTTTTGTATGTAACTTATGTGGGCATGCGTTCTCCCAGAAGAATAACCTCAACATGCATCTGCGTATACACAGTGGTGAGAAGCCTTACCAATGTCATCTCTGTGGCAAAACCTTCAGGACGCAAGGTAATGGCCATCCTTCCTGGTCTGCTGCTTTTGTCATCACTGTGAGCATAACATGATAAATAAGTTAAATCTGGGGTTTTCAAACTGTGAGGCAGAGGTACTGTGTGAGGTGAGAGGGAAAGGTGTATGCAGGTGTTGAGAAAACAACTGGAATTCACTGATGTGACAAAATTTCACTGAGGCAGTTCAGGCGCTTAAACCTAATTGTCCCAATTTCTGTAAAAATTTTTTTAAAAAATCACACATTCATCTCTAAGTCAAATCTGAACACACAAGCATGATGCTCATGTGCTCACGAGGATATCATTATCTCCGAGGTTCATTGCAACTAAACATCTTTAATTCTACTTAGAAATCACAGAAAAGAGGTGCTCCTTGTTACTGCAGAACTTACCTGAGAATCATCACATTTTTAAGTTTTCTTCAGTACAAGAGTAATCCAGTGGTAATTGTCTGTACATCAACAAGTACAATGCGAACATGAACTGCTTATAGCCAATTGGGCATCACTTTTATTGGTGCCAGTTTGCCAAAATGTAAACAGCTCACTCACTTCATGGCAACATTATACTTACTGATGACAGCCCTGAAGGTAAGACATATAGAGCATGGTTGTTCCCCACATACATATCTTCTGTTGCTCTCAAAATTTTTAATTGACATTTCTAAGGCTTAGAATATTCAAGAAAATGCAAGGGCCAGGGTGAACAGTGTCAGACTTTGAAAGCCCCAGAATTAGATTAATTAATGGATGAACTCAAGCACTCTAAATTCTTGAACCCTGGCTATCTCTCTGTCAGTGACAGCAGCACACTCCAGCAGATATAGTTAATTGTATTAATCGCTGTCTTTTTAATATCAGCCAGTCTAGACAAACACCACCGGACACACACTGGCGAGCGTCCCTTCAGCTGTGATGTCTGCGAGCAGCGTTTCACAGAGAAGGGCGCCCTGGTCCGCCACAAGGCCAGCAAGCACGAGGAAGGTCGTCCCCACTGTTGTCACATCTGTGGCAAAACCTTCAAAGGTATCATATACCACCGGCCCAGTTTACTTCCATAATCAGTGAACACATCATGTTGTGTTCCTGATGAACATGTGATGTGATTCTCTGTGGTTTCTGTCTTCACCAGCGAGGGAGCAACTTCGAGTTCATCTGCGTCGCCACAAAGGCATGAGGAAGTTTGAGTGTATAGACTGCGGCTACAAGTTCACTCGACAGGTAGGTTCACTAGTAGGGCTGCACCAAGCTATTATTTCCGTTGTTTATCAACCTGCTGATTACTTCCTTGTTTTTCGGTTTATAAAACTGAACTGAACCACATGTTTATGTGCGACAAGGATTTATGAGTTAAAAGCCTCCACAGAATTTATTACATCAGAGAGGATGAGCTGCTTTAATGTTAATGTTTCTCCAAATATGCAACACTGAGACTGGAAACTTCCTACAGAAAAGCTAGAAACAAAATACTTGGGCTGCAGTGAGCGATTATTTTTAAAATCCTTTTTTTATTACCCATTATAGTTTCTCAAAGCTCAACGTGATGTCCTCAAATATCCTTTGTCTGACTGAACGGTCTGAAACTCAAACATATTCAGTTGCTTTGTAAAATCACTGACATAGCAGAGGATGGTTTCGATCCATCGACCTCTGGGTTATGGGCCCAGCACGCTTCCGCTGCGCCACTCTGCTATGCACCCCAGATGGGACTCGAACCCACAATCCCTGGCTTAGGAGGCCAGTGCCTTATCCATTAGGCCACTGGGGCTGTTGCAGATATGAACATGGCAGTGTTCAGCTGCATTCATACAGTACTCCTTTTGAAGTCACTTTTCTATGGACAGGGATGGTGGCTTTTGTGTGGAGTTAAATCAGGGAATGTGCCTGAATGTGTTGTTGTTCTTTGTGTCCTACACTGCAGACTAATTGTTTGGTCTATAAAACATCAAAAGTGACACATGCATATCTCCATGTTTTTCTCTTCCAGGCACACCTGAGGCGACACATTCAAATCCACAAGCGCACTGAGAACTACAACCCCCGGCAGAGGAAACTGAGGAACGTGGTGGTGCAGGATGTTGAAGGAAGTTCTGGTGAGAACGAAGCAACTAAAACGGTGGGAGCCTCACTGATGACCGAGCAGACAGATTACGCCCCAGACACCGGAAACATCCAGGAACCCACAAACCCAGACACGGACTCCTCGACCGCCCTCGGTCCTAGCTGCATCGTGAGGGTGGTGATCGAGTCGAGTGACCCGGTGATGGAGGAGGTGGTGTCCAATCAGAACCTGGGACCTGTGGAGGCAGCAGAGAGTTTCTCCGTGCCAGAGGTTTTGCAGCAAACACAGCTGGTCACTGAGGCGTACGAGTCCACGATGGATATGGAGGGAATCGTTCAGAATATATCAGAGAGGAAGACCTGAGGACAGAAAGACCAGAGACTGTGAGAAGCCCACTCCGAACTCAGGTGTCTGTGTTGACCACTTCCTAAAAGAGAAGCACTTAACTGTGATTCAGACGGCGAGGCAAAGCCTGAAACATTCGGCCTTACAGATCCAAAGATGAAACTGCAACAAAGTTGGCCACTGTTGAGTTTCTAGACATGCGAGAGAAGAGTAGCAAGTAATAGTTAAAACGCAGCAAGCGAACTGCATGCTTCGAAAAACTGCTTGAATGTGAAAAAACATTTTTTTGTTTGTTTTATTGAACCTCCTTTTATCAGTGTGCCTGCTGCAGCTGGATACAGAACACCAGTAATAAATGATCTTCACTGGTGTTCAGATTAATGAAGGTATTGAAGGAATAGTTGGACATTTTGGGAAATGTTTAGGGTGGAGAGTTGGACGAGAAGATCGCTACCACTCTCATATCAGACCATTTCATTTAAGGCCACAGCCAGAAGCTAGTTAGTACGGCATAGCTTAGCTTCAAAAAAAGACTGGAAACAGGGAAATGGCTGAGACTGCCTCTGTCAAATAGCTATGTAGCTAATCAACATGTTATACATCGTTCATTTATGTGCAATTCATTTATTTTTTGGCTGCAAGTTTTTGTTGAGAATTTTTGTTATTTTAACACTAAACAAACATGCTAATTAATGAGCATTAGAGGTGCTGGAGGCAGATTGTGTCAGCATTTCACAGAGACAGGGTACCTTTTTTTCCCTATTTCCAGTCTGTATGCTAAGCTTACCAGCTACTGGCTGTAGCTACATATTTAACAAAAAGACGACGTGCTACTGATTTTCTTGTCTTAACTCTTGGCAAGAAAGCAAATAAACATTTAACAAAATGTGAAAGCCGGTTAAAGGAACCCTGTGGAGTTTCTGACCAGAAGTAGCGCTGTGGAGCAACGTTTGTATGAGTGAGTCCCCGATTTGTTTGTAATGAGCAGGTAAACGAGGACGTGGGTGACCACGATGACGCTCAAAGAAGTATAGCAGTCCTCCCACAAAGGCAGTGAAGAAGAAGACTGCTAGTAAGCAAGCATAGTAGTTGTAAATGCATGCAGTATGTTCCTTGGACTTTAAGGCTACACACAAGGCATTTTAGTGAGAATCACTGAATGTAAACATCACTTTTAGTTTTATTTTTAACTCCACAGGGTGCCTTTAATGTAAAAAGGTGAAAGGTTATCTCATTTACAATGTCCTCAATCAACATAGGTCATAAAAGATGTACAGTTTTTACAGCTGTCAAAACATCCTCACTTGGAATTCATGTTACAGATTTATAATTTTGTTTTAAAACACCCACCTTAATGATTGGACACATTAGCTTACACTTGCTATTTATAAAGAACTTAATGCGTTAATTGTCTTTTCACACTCTGCTGCAGCTACTGTCGTTTGTTTATAAGAAATGTACGTGAACATTTGCATCCTGCTAAAAGCTCATTACGTGTTTTACAACAGAATAAACTCAGATCTGCCCGCAGTCTAATTTATGGTAACTATTCTGTAAACACTACACAAACACAGTACATAGGGTTAAGATTATACTGTATTTACAAAAACTGATTCAACATCACAAACTTGTATGAAAACTAAGAAAAATGATGCATTAACAATACCATAGAAACAGTCAAAATTACAATTTCCATTAAAGCAGAAATTATTTTACATGAGAGCAAATTGAGATTTTCTTTTGGATTTCCAGTTGAGACTGCTGACCCTTCACCAGTATTTGCCAAGTGTTACTGTTCTTGTTGCAACTGATAGGCAGGGACATCTTAAGCAACCACAGCACAAATACTTCCATAAATAAACATACAAAACATTCATAAATACAATTTCTAAAGAAAATACTTCATGCACATTCGACTGGTGGTTATAAAGGCGGATCTGGCCCAGTTTCAAGGTCAGGAGTGATACAAGGAGATGCTGTGCAGCCTAATTATCACTAGCAATGGAGTATTAACCCAGTACAAGTTAACATCACATGCAACCATCCTTAAATTCTGCCATGATGACAGAGGGTTACTCAGCTCACCTTTGAGTCAAAAGTATTCCCACTGGTAAATTCAACCCATCTGTCAGTTTAGTGCTAAATATGAATTGTGATTGCTGTCGTTTTCGGAATGTAAATTGATTATTGCTGTTTTCTGACCAAATATTTGGCTTCTGCTCAAATTGTTAAAAGAATATTCCACCATTTTAGCATTGAACACACAGTGTTTTTAAAAAAGGATCAAAATCAACATAGCAGAACCAGAGATATCGGCCTCTTTATTCCACACATTCTTCTTCTTCTTTCTCAAAACCTGGCGCCTACATTACCCACAATGCTATTACTCGACCACAGACAAGTTGGAGATTCAGGTGTGTTATGCTAGAAGCTGCTAATGTAGCGTTGAGCCTCAGCAGAGATGAGCAGGTTACAGAGCTCACTTCTTTCCAACTCCACATCCACAGATTTTTGTCATTATCAAACTTCAGGCACCGACTCAAGTGACATCAATTGAGGCACTTTTCACACAGCTCCCTCTGGAGCCACAACACGCTTGTAAACACTTACTTTGATGTGTGCATTTCAAATTTAAATTGAATATGTCTGTAGAAAAATACTTTCCACAGACATCACCTGCTAAAACACTGATGTCCATTCACAGAAACACCTGTCTCATCCACGTGTGGGAGACAGTCGTAGATAGTTCCCATACAAAAACTCAGAGAAACAGCTGTTTACTGCTCTTTAGCAGAGATGAGGCAGATGACCAGAAGCTCATTTAGTCCTCATCCTTTAAGTCTCCTCACTGGAAAACCAAAAGCTTAAACAATTCTGATAAAGAATAAATTTCACCTTTTTCACCTTTAGTAAAAGATGATGTCTTCAAATAAATTATTTTGTCCAATTCAATGAAAAGTTCAAATCCCCCCAAATATTTTGTTTACCGTGACAAAAAACACAGAAAAGCAGAAAAACCTCAAAATGGAGAAGTTGGAACCCGTGAAGTAGTTTAAACAATTATCGATTCATTTTCTGTCAATTGACTAAACGATCAAATGTTTCAGCTCTAATTCAAAGTGTTTTCAGACATTATATTTCAGTTTTAAAAGAGAAAAGACTTGAGGGAATAAGGACTAAATGTCTGGTTTGGTTCATTTCCCCACCTCCGATAAAGAGCAGCACACAGCCACTTCCATAGGCTTTTCTATGGGAACCATTCAGCACTGTTTCCCAGTCAACAGGGCTAAGAAACACATAGCCTTTGTGTAATTGATCCCGTCAACAGACTTAAGTGATTGTCAGTATGACAGCTTGGCAGTCAAGTGGATTACAAGGAGCTCAGACTACTTTGAACATGCTCAGTCTTCTCTTCTACCTTAAACCGCTTCAACGTTGTGATGAGGTAAATTCACAGTAAACTAATGATGGCACAATGACAGACTGTGCAAGAGGGATTTCTATAGGTTCAAACTCAGTGCGCTGGGTTCACATCCTGGTTCTGGTTTTGGTTGAGATTGTTGTTCAGATTGTGGAGCTCTTGGTGACGCTGGTGCCGGTGCAGGTGGATGGCGTTTGACTCGGGTACGTCAATAGGTTCGAACGCACTGGACACCAGGGGCATGAACTGGCGGAATATGCTGACACTGCCGTGCCAGAAAGTCGGCTGAGGTAGCCGCCCAGCGAGAGACCACGTGCGGGTGGTCGGGTCGTAGGCTTCCACCACATCTGACAGCTCAAAAGTATTGTCATAACCACCAGACACATAAAGTTTACCACCCAGGGCTGCCACACTCCCTCCAACATGGACCTGGATAAAAGATATTAAATTAAAGAAATGAGCTTTATGTTGTAATGCAGAGCCATGAAACTGATGAAATGTAGTAAAAGGTTATCAGATGTCAAAAATATAACTGAATACATCAATAAATAATACTGCTAGTTAAATAATGAAAATTAAGTGTAAAAGTACATAGCTTAATACTGGGATGCACATATCTTATTATCATATAAGCATAAGGAAAATCTGTAATGTTGTTTGGGAAAACAGGGAATAGAGAAATGATTAAATATGTGCCAAGACCAAAAACACAGGAAAACTAAGATGCTGAAAAATTAAACAAGCAAGAAGAGTAGTAAATAAAGTTTTAATTTTACCCATATTTTTTTTTTTTTTTTTATCACCCATACTGATGGGTGGTAAAAATATTAAAAAACTAAATATATATATATATAATATTTTTCTTACCAACTGGAGGTTAAAGGAAGTATAAAGCTTACTTTTTACTCCATTTCAATTTAACTAATAGTATTATTTATGTATTTGGCAATGTTTTTGATGCATCTGCTAAACTTGTATTGCATTAATTTACTGAAGTTATTAAGTTCACAGGTTCAGTAATTAAATCACATTTCCACGACAGTCATTCATCCATCATTTTTACTCCATTCACAAAAGAGAAAAATATATATGTTTGTATTTATTATCATCTTTGGATATGCTGCAGTGTGGATGACAGCTCTGTTCATGGTGCAAAGCATGCTAGGAGACAAACATCTGATGTGAAATACAAACCTGGGTCATCGGACTAATTTTGTCCCACTCGTTCTTTTGAGGATTATAAACATCCACCTCAGCTGAGTCATCCCTACAAATAGAAACACACCAAAGTCAGGACAATATTCATGCTAACCTCACTGACTATTGAAGCAGTCATGTTTTATCAACAAATGTTTCTTTCTGGCCTTCTAAATAATCAATCATATCCCAAATATTCAGGTATTCTATATATGATGTTACGTTTATCTACCAACAAATTGACAGCTCAAAGAAACAAAAGTGTAGTGGTATAAGCCCCTCCCTCTCAATGCCTTTGTCATAAAGTATTTACCAGTGGTGGAAGAAGTACTAAGATCCTTTAGATAAGTAAAATACCGGATGAATTTTGGGAAATCATGAGGAAAGTTTCCAGGAAATTATCTGGAAACTACAAAACTCAAATTAAATGTTACCCAATTTAGTTAAGGTATGTGACAGATTGTTTTTTTCTCCTGACCTGACGAAGTAGATGAGGCCACTGAGGGTCACAGTTTTCGGTGTAAAGGACCATGGAGGCAGCTGTCCACATTTAACCATGATCCAACGGTTGGTGTCTGTATCATAGCTCTGGATGGCCATGGTGTCCTCTCCAGTCAGACAGCCTATAGCATACAGGCGCCCGTTACATGTGGTAGTGGAGCAGTTGTCCATGGGGTGCAGCATGGCTGGTAAGGCCTCCCAGCAGTCCAGAGCGTGATCGTAGCGCTCGGTGCTGTCCGACGCCACCACGTACAGCTGACCTTTCAGCACACAGGAGCTGTGGTACTCGCGGGCCTTCAGCATGGGCGACACCTCCGTCCACTCATTGACACTGGACTTGTAGCGCCACACACCGTCATAGAGGCGGGAGCCGTCAGAGCCACCTGACAGAGCCAACAACAAAAAATATTTGTTACTGTTTAGCATCATTGTGCACAATTAAATATACTATAAAACAAGACAGCAGTCTTGGTTTGTCTGAAGAAATCATGATATTAATGGGGATATTTTTTCCTATATTGTTGTATCTCAATATTACAAACATGGAAAATCACATATAACAATAAATCCATCCTTCCGTTTTCTGCCACTTATCCTTAGTTGGGTCAAAGTGACAGCAGGTTAAGTAAGGTAGTACAGACATCCCTTTCCCCAGCATCATTTTTCAGCTCTTCCTGGAGGATCCCAAGGTGTTCCCAGGCCAGATGAGATAAATAATCTCTCTCTTGTGTGTTCTGGATCTGCCCCAGGGTCTCCTACCAGTTGGACATGCCCAGAAAACCAGCAGAAAGGTGTCCAGGATTGGACACCCTGTTCATTCCCTATCATTACAGTATAGTTAGGCTCTGCAAATACTAACTATTTGCAGTCCTCTTCCTCAACCAGTCAGCAAAGATTTAATATCTCAAGCTACTTTTTTGCCCTTAAAGATGCAATGTA